GTCAATAATCATGACTTGTCAATTTAGATTTTACATCTCATAGGCTTATATCAGTCATAATTTAGACTTTTCATATGGTAAATGTGACTTACCATGTCATAAGTTCGACTTTAGTCATAATTATGATTTATCAAAGCATTATTTTTTCTTAAGTGGCAGAAATGGGCTTCCATGTTTACTATCCCCTTTGACCAATGAATGACCATGATTTCTCAGTCATTATTATATAAGGATCACTAAAATAATTAATATAATTTATATTCACTGTTATAATTTTCTAGGACACTTCTAGGCTTTTAAAAACTTTATAAAATTAATTCCCTGATATATAAAGGTTTTCATTCAAATAAAAAGGCCTGGCTTGCTGTCTACAACGAGGAATCTTAATATCCTTAATCAAACAAATTCACACCTATTAAATGTGTGTATTCAGAGCTAGAGAGGAGATGGGCATGACAACAATCCAAATACACAACAAACATTCATTTTCCACATGGCCTTTTATTGTTGTATGACAGATTATCGTTATTTTGGTCTGGACATCTATGTGCGTAACAGTTTTAATTAGAAATGTTCTTCTTCAGGTGTTGCCCCAGACACTTCAAGCAGAGGAAGTTACATTGCAAATGTTTCTTGTGAATAACACACACACGCATACGTTAAGAGACATGAATATCCACACACGCACACGGTCAGCTGTGAAACCTACAGGACTTTACAGTCGGGGATTTGGGGACTTTGAAGAGTCTAACGGCTGCCGCGCTGTTGTGGAGACATCAAGTCACGCTCCAAGGAAGGTGAGTGCCGTGTCTCTCTCCTCCACCAGCTCAGCGGCGGTGCCATCCATCTTACCGCGGGAGAAATCATTGATGGAGAGTCCGTCAACCACCTTCCAGGTCTTGTTCTGTCGGGGTGGAAAATATTAGTACTTACATAGAGACCTTATATTTCTAAACTACTTCCAAATGCTTCGATTTCTTTTTTGAAATTCAATTTCATTGTTTTTTTAGGTGTGACGAAGACAAACCTTGATCATAACAGGGAAGGAGTACATGAGGTCATCAGGAACTCCATAGGAATTACCAGTGGAGTAGATGCCCATAGACACCCACTCACCCTGTTAGAGACAGAAAAATAATTAGTTAGCATTAACCCTGTAAAGTATGGAAGAGGATTAGGGCCAAGCAATAATAAAAAAAATAAAACCATCTCGAGATTAAAGTCGTTAAATTTCGAGAATAAAGTCGTTATGTTTCGAGAAAAAACTCGTTAAATTACGAGAAAAAAGTCAAGATAAAATGTTGAGATTAAACTCATAAAATTTCGAGAATAAAGTCATTGTGTTTCGAGAAAAAAGTCGAGATAAAATGTTGATAATAAACTCATTAAATAACGAGAAAAAGTCGTTAAATTTCGAGAAAGTCAAAAATGTTGAGAATAAACTCATTAAATAACGAGAAAAAAGTCGTTAAATTTAGAGAAAAAAGTCGT